CCTTTTTATTTTTTTAAGGAAAAAAAAAGAAAAAAAACTATTAATAAATAAAAAAAAGAAACACCACAGAATAAGCAAAAAATGGGGGGGGGGGGGGGGAGCATCAGCAACACAGCAACACAGCAACAGAACCTGCCACCGACACACATACAAAAAAAAGTAATCCTAAAAAGACTGTTGGGTCCTATGCAGGTGTTCCATGCAGGTGGGCTTACACTCCTCTCTCTCCCCAGCAGCAGCAAAAACTGCAATGCACTGCAAAGTATCAGTATCAAATATACAGTACAGGAGATAACACTGCATATAGCACTGATACTGTAAGCACAAAGCACTAGTAGCACAGGACACTACACTATCCAACTCTCTGTCCCTAAAAGCAATGTCAGCTGTCCTTCACGCTCACTAAACTTCCACACACTGACAAATGGCTTCTGGGAGCCGATTCGAGCACTTGGGCACTGCCCGAGGGCCCGGGGTCAGTAAGGGGCCCCATGAAATGCCCCTGGTACCTTTTTTATAGGCTTTTTTGGGTGTGCTTTGAGTTTTGGCAAAGACACAGGGGCCCCATGATCTCCTATTGCCCTGGGGCCCCATGAGTTGTCAGTCCGCCCCTGGCTGGGAGAGAAGCCTTTGGAGTGTATGGGTTGCAACATATCTCCAAACCATCACTGGCCAAAGTTTTGCACCTTACCAGAGGTCAAGTATAATACTTTGGTGATGTTTTTGTAACCAAACACTCAGCTCATCACTAATTCTGAGATAAATACTGCATGATATATTTACTGCAAATTACTAATAAATAGCTCTTAGCCAATTGACCCCTGGAACTGTTAAAGCGTAACTCCGAGCTAACAGCAAACTGATGAAATCCGTATAGAATAGCTATTTTACCTGCCAAGGTTTTGTCTATTTAGCTCTGAGGTTTCAACAGCTCTGCCATGCATGCTTTTTTTCTGCTGCAGTTCAGTAACAGAAATCTACCCACTCAGTGACTGAACAGTGAAAGAGGAAGCAGAGGAAGGATGATATTTTCCCTCTTAACAGCTTGCTCATTGCACTGGTAGCTCATAGCACAAATGACTAGCTGCTTGTGTTGCTTCTCCGTACCCCAGTTTGAGCTCTTCTGTACTTGATCTGTAAAAGGCTGTTACCCAGTCAAATTCAGGTACATAAACCACTTTCAATTAAAAATGTAATTACGTATGTATTATTGGCTGAGGGGCTGCGTTAATTTGTCTTTTTATATCTGCCTGGATTTCAGCTCACTCTTTCACTAAAACATACACTTTGTTTAAAAATAAATGAAAAAACAAACATTAAGTTAATGTAGTGCACAAATAACCTCTGTTGTGTATGATATATAGAATAATATATAGAAGCCCTTAAAATGAATGCAATTGTAGAACTTTTATCAACTACTCTACAATTTGGCTTTGATAGCATATGAAAACGCAAGGTTGTAATACTCAAAAAAGAGATTAATTATAGATCTGGTTAGTTCAGAATGAACTCTTGTACAGTAGACTATGCCCTTCAATATTCTGTACTTTGGATAATTATTCTTGACTGTCAAGCAAATCATATACCTTATTCATTTATCATCTCAAGTTCACTTGTAGCATGTTGACCTTTAAATCTGGGAAAGCACAAGACTCCAAGGAGTTTATTTATTACCCGCCACAACTAAGTCTAGACTAAATACAGTCACACAAATTATGCTAATTATTTTAAACAATGAGCTATTCAATTCAATTTAAGGTGCTTGTATATATCTTCACATTTAAATTTTACACTTTTGTTCTTATTTTAAGTATTCTTACTATATACATATTTATTTGTATATACTGTACTTATTTAATGATCATAACTAGTTTTACTCATTAGTTTTTTCATTGATTTAAACCGATTTAGACATAATGACTGAATTCCCCAAAATGACGTGATGTGAGCATGATATCCTGTTGTGTTGACGCAAAGTGATGTCATATACAATACTATATTGCACTGCATATGTGCCTAAAGAGGAACATTCTATGGATGAAATGCCAGTCTGTAGTCTTCTACACAATCCATATAGGCTTTAAGGGTTATATGAACATTTTTTAGTAATGCTTCCAGAAATCTGATAAAAAGAACCATTTGAACCTTTATCTGTTTAATATAATGCATGAAAAGGCACATGCAATTTAAAAACTATCCTACTCTTATAACACTAACCTAGTGTTGATACACACCAAGCTTTACTGCACTCCTATATCTGAGAGCATGAGGAAATATTACACCCTAGACTAGGCAACTAGTAATTGTGATGAACACGGTGCCCGACCCCTGCCCTTCTCACCAACTTGTGACAAAGGACCAGCCAATCTCACACTGCGTTGTCACTTGTGCAACAATGCCACTCTCAGCTGCACCCTGCACAAAGATTTTCCAGCTCACAGGACCACAATCTAGGTACCGGCAGCCTGAGAGTGATTGATACTGAGTTAGGTTAATTACGCAATTAACCCTTCAAGCTCCAAACTGCCATCATATAGCTTTGGGCCTATCAACCCTTCACAATGTTAGCAAGAACAAATGCAAACAATAAATGTCTGTAACACACACTATCACCACAGACAAGTATATTCAGAGGATTAATATATACAGTAGCACTTCAGGAGACAGAGATTCTTTAGTTTGCATTAAAAGCTTTAGAGACAGTTTAAACACTTTTCAAAATAGGGTTTAGCACTAAAAAGGTAAAAATGGTGCAATTAAAATATTTACAGAAAAAACACAGACATAAAGAGAACAATAAAGCAACAGAGAAATAAAAGAAAGGAGTTAAAAAGACAGAATACTTGCAAAGTCCTTGGTTTTAGCAGAATCCAATTGAAAAAAAAAATATTTTTTCATGATCATATGTTGGATCATAATAAGTAAACATGATCACAATTTCTGTTGAAAAAAAAAATGCCAGTCTAAAATAAGAAAAAAATTTCAAAACACTTTTTGATCTATTCCTTTGTTTTTTAAAATTTATTTTTCTGTCTGTTTTTTTTATTCTTTAGAAAATAGAAAAAAAATCTTCCAAATAATAATTTTAAAAAGAGACAGTACACTTTATTAGACTTTTTTTGCAACTGTGTTTTGGTGCTTTTGTAGTGATATATTAACCACTTGCCCTCCTGAGGATTTACCCCCCTTAATGACCAGGCCTCTTTTTGCTACTCAGCGCTGCACAAATTCAGCTGATAATTGCGCGGGTCATTCAATGCTGTACCCAAACAAAAATTTATGTTCTATTTTTCACACAAATAGAACTTTCTTTTGGTGGTATTTGATTACCTGTGCACTTTTTTATTTTTTCGCGCTATAAACAAAAAAAGACCAAACATCTTGAAGAAAAACAATATTTTTTACTTTCGGCTATAAAAAAATATATAGTAAACTGAAAGTTAGTTATAAATTTAGGCCAAAATGCATCCTGCTACATGTTTTGGTAAAAAAAAAATCCCAATAAGTGTATATTGATTGCTTTGTATGAAAGTTATAGCGTCTACAAACTATGGTATAGATATTGCAATTAACGCCATTTTTTTGCTATACAGCCCTGCACTTATTTAACTGACAATTGCCCGGTCATGCAATACGGTACATAAATTAAATTTATGTCCTTTTTTCACACAAATAGAGCTTTATTTTTGGTGGTATTTTATTATCTGTGCACTTTTTATTTTTGGCGCTGTAAACGAAAAAAAAATTTTTGGGTAAAGAAAAAAAAAATTTAGTTGGGGTAAAATAAAAAAAAAAAAAAAAAAAAAAAAAAAAACGATATTTTCTCATTTCTGTCATAAAAAATATCCAAAAACTAAAATTTCATCATAAATTTAGGCCAAAATGTATTCTGCTGCATGTTTTTGGTAAAAAAAAATCCTAAAAAGTGTATATGGATTGTTTTGTGTGAAAGTTATAGCGTCTACAAACTATGGTATAGATAATGGAATTTACACAGCTTTTCCTTTCTCACTGCTCATCACATTTCTTGAGGTGCTAAAATACCAGGACAGTACAAACACCCCCAAATGACCCCTTTTCAGAAAGTAGACAACCTAAGCTATCTGCTGAGAGGCATATTGAGTCCATGGAAGATTTATTTTTTTTTCCACAAGTTTCTGAAATGTGACAAAACTTTTTTTTTTCTTTTTACACAAAGTTGTCATTAAATTATATATTTCTCACACAAGCCATGGGTATATGTGGAATTACACCCCAAAATACATTCTGCTACTTCTACCAAGTATGGGGATACCACATGTGTGAGACTTTTTTGGAGCCTAGCCACATACAGGAGCCTGAAATCCAATGACCACTTTGCAAGCCTGAAGGTGCGTAACTTCCTCATTTCACTTGCCAGGATAGCACTACCCCCCCCCCCCCCAAATTACCCCTTTTTGGAAAGCAGATACCCCAAGGAATTTAAAAAGAGGCATGATGAGTATTTTTCAGATCTCTTTTTTTTTCTCGCAAGGTTTTGAAATATAAAAAAAAGAAAAAAAAAAAAGGTAAACTTTCAAAAACTTGTGGCAACAAAAGAGATCTGCAAAATACTCGCCATGCTTCTGATCAAATTCCTTGGGGTGTCTACTTTCCAAAAAGTGGTAATTTGGGGAGGGGGTTTGGTGCTATCCTGGCTAGAGATGAGCGAATTATTCAAAAATTCGGTTCGGCTGATTCGCCGAATTCGCGGAATAAATTCGCTTCGAGCCGAATATATTCGCTGCGAATTTAACTTATAAAAAGGGTGTTTCTAGGCTTCAGAGAGCCTTTATATTAGTGCAGAACACTGTACCTTTAATTTAAATGCCCTTGGAGTCTGCTGGGGAAGAGAAATAATACTGTCAGTCAGTATGACATGCAGATGAGTGCCGTCGATCTTAGAATCACCGCACACTTCACTCATTTGGGCAGTCACGGGGCCAAAACCACAGTGTGGAGCCACAGTGTGGCGGTGGAGGCAGCAGCAATGGGAGGCCATACAGCACCCTATGACAAAATGGAACCCACCAGCAGTGTGAGGAGACCTGAAAGTGGCACATGGCAGAGTGTGGCGATGGAGACAGCAGCAATGGGAGGCCGTACAGGGACCCATGACACACTCTGGACCTGGCAGCAGCATGAGGAGGCGGTACAGGGGCCCATGACAGATTACGGGCCTGGCAGCAGCATGAGGAGTCGGTACGGGGGCCCATGGCAGATTACGGGCCTGGAAGCAGCATGAGGAGGCGGTACAGGGGCCCATGGCAGAGTGGCGGAGCGTAAGCAGCTAAAATTGAAGGCCATACAGAGGCCTATGTTAAAAAGTCCCCCCAGCAGCAGCGTGGGGAGACGACTATCAAGAGTCCAATGGCAGAGTGGCGGAGCAGAAGCAGCTTCAATTGAAGGCCATACACAGGCCTAGGTTTAAAAGTCCCTCACAGTTAATTCCAATAACGAACTCTACTCCTCCGTGCAATCTACTTACGAGACCCTGGGCAGGTCTGGGTCCAATTTGTGGTAGAGACTGGTTTTGTTCAGCCATGCTTGAGCGAGTAATAACAGGTCTGTGCTGCCCTTTGGTGTCTGGCTTAATGCGCACAACACTGAACGTCCCAGCGTTTGTCAACGATTTGCCGTTAAGTGATGCAAACCCGCTGAACCACGTTCATGAGGAGCCGGTATAGGGGGCCATGAATCAGTATGGACCTGGCAGCAGCGTGAGCAGACGACAGAGGCACATGGCGCAGGGTGGCGGTGTAGGCAGCATTATTCTGAAGCCATACACAGGCCTAGGTTAAAAGTGGAAGCCATCAGCAGCGTGAGCAGACGACAGAGACACATGGCGCAGGGTGGCGGTGGATGCAGCAGTATTCGGAAGCCCAAACACAGGCCTCGGTTAAAAAGCGGAAAGCCGTCAGCAGCGTGAGCAGACGACAGAGGCACATGGCGCAGGGTGGCGGTGGAGGCAGCAGCAATGGAAGGCCATACAGCACCCTATCACAAAATGGAACCCACCAACAGTGTAAGGAGACCTGAAAGTGGCACATGGCAGAGTCTGGCGATGAAGTCAGCAGCAATGGGAGGCCGTACAGGGACCCATGGCACACTCTGGACCTGGCAGCAGCAAGAGGAGGCGGTACAGGGGCCCATAGCAGAGTGGCGAAGCGTAAGCAGCTTCAATTGAAGGCCATACAGAGGCCTATGTTAAAAAGTCCCCCCAGCAGCAGTGTGGGGAGATGACTATCAAGAGTCCAATGGCAGAGTGGCGGAGCAGAAGCAGCTTAAATTGAAGGCCATACAGAGGCCTAGGTTAAAAAAGTCCCCCCAGCAGCAGTGTGGGGAGACGACTATCAAGAGTCTAATGGCTGAGTGGCGATCCGGGAAGTCAGCGTTGTGATTGCAGATGCAATGCAGAGATTCTATGAGGTGATGCCGTGGGTGCGAAGAAGATCATATACTGTCGTACTTCCATCCATAAGACGGAACAACCTGCGAACCGGGAGCTTTATTGCCCTGACCCGCTGAGCAGCTTCTGGGATACCCAAGAGGCCCATGGCAGAGCGTAAGCAGCTTCAATTAAAGGCCATACAGAGGCCTATGTTAAAAAGTCCCCCCAGCAGCAGCGTGGGGAGACGACTATCAAGAGTCCAATGGCAGAGTGGCGGAGCGGAAGCAGCTTCAATTGAAGGCCATACACAGGCCTAGGTTAAAAAGTCCCCCCAGCAGCAGTGTGGGGACGACTATCAAGAGTCCAATGGCTGAGTGGCGATCCGGGAAGTCAGCGTTATGATTGCAGATGCAATGCAGAAAATTTTATGAGGTAATGCCGTGGGTGCGAAGAAGATCATATACCGTCGTACTTCCATCCATAAGACGGAACAACCTGCGAACCGGGAGCTTTATTGCCCTGACCCGCTGAGCAGCTTCTGGGATACCCAAGAGTTTGGCTTCTGTGGGGAATATGGTTGAAAACTGAAACTTAAAGGCATGTTGACGGAAGGGCACCAGTGTCAGTGCTCCGGAGGGAATATAGCTTCAAAGCTGACACTTAAAGGTATATCGACGGTCAGAGACCACAGGAAGTGGAGCTTGCGTCTTAAATCGACTGAATGTGTCAGACGTGAAACGTCTACGGGCCGTATATGAAACGGGTTGTTCCTCTTTCTGGAATAAGTGTTGGAAATGGCCACTCTTTTTGGTGTGGCGTTTTGTCTATTTAATTCCGATAACGGACTCTACTCCTCCGTGCAATCTAGTTACGAGACCCTGGGCAGGTCTGGGTCCAATTTGTGGTAGAGACTGGTTTTGTTCAGCCATGCTTGAGCGAGTAATAACAGGTCTGTGCTGCCCTTTGGTGTCTGGCTTAATGCGCACAACACTGAACACTGTGTCCCTGAGTAACGATTCTGTGTCCCTGAGTAATGATTCTGTGGCCCTAAAGTCTCTGTGGCCCTAACTCTGTCCCTTAATACACACAGGTCTGTCTCTCTTGAATGACCGAAGGCTAATGGAGAATTCTAAGATGGCCGCGATTTATAGCTCCACCATTACACAGTGCTGGCTGGCTGCTGATTGGCTAATGCGATCACATGTCATGAATGCATTATGGGTCAGCGCGCCTTGTCTGCGCGCCTTCCCAGAGATCCCCGCCCCATCTTCTCTGTCCATTTTCTCCGTCGCCACACATGTCGCCGCCATTTTTTGGGAAAATTCGATTCGTGCATCCGAAGTTTGCTAATCTTCGGATTCGTCGCGAATAGAATTTTTCCAAATCTTCGGAACGAATTCCACTTCGTCACGTTCGATTCGCTCATCTCTAATCCTGGCATTTCAGGGCATCGAAACTGTGATAGGTAGTCAGGAAGTGTAATGAGGAAATAAAGCCCTTTAAAAGCCTGAAAGTGCTTATTGGATTTTGGGGTCCTGTACTTGGCTAGACTGCCAAAACATCTCTCACATGTGGTACCCCCATACTCGGGAGATGTAGCAGAATGTATTTTGGGGAGTAATTCCACATATACCCATGGCATGTGTGAGCAATAAATCATTTAAGTGACAGTTTTGTGTAAAAAAAAGAAAAACATTTTTGTAATTTTCCAAAACTTTGTGGAAAAAAAATAAATTCTTCTATTGATTCAACATGCTTCTCAGCAAATAGTTTGGGGTGTCTACTTTCCAAAAGGGATTGTTTTGGTGGGTGGGGGCATTTTATGCCCAGCATTAGAAGTTTATGCCACACATCACTTACTCTTCTAACCACCTGAAGACCAAGCCTTTTCTGACACTTTTTGTTCACATGAAAAAAATCTGTATTTTTTGCTAGGAAATTAATTTAAACCCCAAACATTATATATTTTTTAAAGCAAACATCCTAGTGAATAAAATAGTCGTGCTGCAATTTTTTATGTCACATAGTACTCACTCAGCGATTTTTCAAATGCAATTTTTTTTTTTAAAAAAATACACTTTTTTTTACTTGTAATGCACAAAAACACTAAATATTGGCTAATTATTTAGTAAAATATAAAAGCTGATGGTATGACGAGTAAATAGATACCAAACATGACATGCTACAAAACTGTGCATGCCCCGTGCAATGGCAACAAACTGCATATTTTTTAATATCCATAGGCAACGTTTTAAAAGCCTTTACAAGCTACCATTTTAGATTTACAGAGGAGGTCTAGTGTTAGAATTACTGCCCTTGATCTGATGTTCGTGGCGATACCTCACATGCATGGTGCAATTGCTGTTTCCATACTGGCACAGGGTCAATGCTCATGAAAGCAGATGCACGCATGCGCAGGGGGAGAGGTTACTTTTTTTTAAGTTATTTGATTTTTATGTATTATTTTCACACTGTCCCTTCATTTTTTTTTTATTACTTTTAATGCTATCACAGGTAATACAATTATCCCCTATAACTTCAATGGGCATTGTCATATATTCTTTGTTGAGAAATCTGGGTTCTATCAGACTCTAGATATCTCCTCTGTGCTTACATTATCTAATCAAACCAAGATCAGTGTTATCAGATGCTTTCCCAATTTACAAATGGCGCTGTTTATATCCTGTGAAACTGAAGTCATGAAATGCTCGTAGCTTCCGATTTCTTAGGCTATAGAGATGGTTGGCACCATTCTGGTCTCCAATCAGCTCTATGGTCAGCTGGCAGAAACACCAGCTGCAATCTTAGGTTGCCCCGATGGCACGGGACTGCCTGAGAAGGCAGTGGGGGAGGGGGGGCATTGTCTCCCGCTGCTTGTAAAAGCAATCCTGCAGCTAATTAGCCACTAGGATTTCTTTTACATAAAAGCCAATCGCTGGCTGAAAAAATGATACCGGGATGATGCCTGCAGCTGTAGGCATCATCCTGGTATAACCATTCAAAATCCAGTGATGTACCAATACCTCGGTTTATGAATTTAATTTGTTCTGCAGGACATTTCATATAGCGAAAAATTTGTAAACCGAAACACTGTTTCCCATAGGAATGCATTGAAAACCAATTAATCCATTCAGAAGGTCAGAAAAAAAACAGTAAACGCTATTATAATACCGCATTAGTTATTTTATTAACTCAACCATGACAACCATGTGTTTAATATTTCAGCTGTCAGCGGGGTTCCCCACTGACAGATGAATGTAAAAGAATTGCTGGTAATTAAAAAAGAAAAATTTTAATTGCAGGCAATTCACTCAGCTGTCAGGTGCCAGTTTTTAAATGTAATTACCGTTTGTTTTTTTTTCCCCTTCACTATACAGTAGTTCAGAAATTCAGCAGTTACTTTCCCCATCCAGCTGAAAGAGGGAACGTTTCTTTTAGTTTATTTCCCCAAGTTAAAAGATACAGTGTTTCTTTCAGTTTCTTAAAAGATACAATGTTTCCTTTCAGTTTCTTAAAAGATACAATGTATACTTTCAGTTTCTTAAAATATACAAAGTATCCTTTAGCTCTGGGAAACTGACAGCTAATGTTGTGAGCTATACTGAAGAAAAAAAAAAGATGGGAATTGCATTTAAAAATCAGCACTGACATACACTTAGTATTGTGAAACAAAATTAGTAAAAAATTTGTAAACAGAGGCATTATTTTCAATGGATTTTCATTTGTAAACTGAAAATTACGTTATTCGTAAACCGAAGTATTACTGAATACGCTATGTTCTTTTTTTTTTTTATGCAGCCTGTGGACTGAATTAAAAAAAGAGAAGAAATCTCTGCCAGAAAAAGTGTGTGGTATGCCCACCATTGGAATATACAGTTGCAAGAAAAAGTATGTGAACCCCTTGGGATTGCGTGGAGTTTTGCATGAATTGGGCATAAAATGTGCTCTGAACGTCATCTAAGTCACAACAATAGAAGAACACAGTCTGCTGAACATAATACTACACAAACATTAGATGTTGCCATGGTTTAATT